ATATTATATGATTATTTTGTACTAAAGCAAGCATGCAGATTCCTCTCTAGATTAATATATTGATAAAATGACCCTGAAAAAAAATTGTGCGTATACCTTATTTAACGTATTTACATATCAATGTCGTCACTATACCATGGTATTTATAACTGGGTGAATTGTCAGGTCGTTAATTTGCATACGTTTTCGATCCTGATATTGTTATTCCGTTTTTGTATTGAAAGCAAATAAGATATCAAACTCCAGAATATATTTTTTTGTTTATAAACACTGGCGATTTATCGCAGTATCCTATGCCTACCGTTTACATATTGTAGAGTAGCTCTAAATTTATCAATGGTGGAATGCGATTTCAGAACTAAGATGACCGTAAAATATAGGCCTAATAATGCTATTATATGCAGGAATACGCAATTACAGAAGGAACTAACAGCATGGTAACTCTGAAGGTTTATACGTAAATGCAACTCCAAAGCAACACAGACCCATGTAATATAAATTATAATATTTCCATTGGTTAGGCCTACGTCTTAAAACCAATACTTTTTCCTGATCGGCCGTCTTTCATGCTCTTGACTTTAATACACCGTACTGTGAACAGTGATCGATTTGTAGGCCTATTTTCGTGTCAATCAATTAAACTAATAAGATAGATTGATAGAAAATACCATAGTCAATGACTTTTTCGTACATATCAAAAGCGGCCCGTAAATTTAACAACTTACAATTGGTTTAATTTAACACAATTTATAGCAGTATAGAGACATGCGTTTATTTAGTTGTCTGTTGATGGAAATATTGTTCTAATTTTTAATTGCAAGCTATTAAGTTCAGTAAATATATAAGGCCCTAAAAAATAGTTTATCACCCTAGGCAGGAAAGTGATGAGGGAGGTGGGATTTTTATTTTGTATTTCGCTAAAGCCACATATCCTTGGCTTGTGTACTGGTGCATCAGTATTCAAGTAAAATACATGATTGAGATAATACAAACAATATTTACTAAATTTACTAAAAACATTTTGCAATAGGCCTACCATAAAAGACATGCGGGCGATTTTGCGGGTGAGAATGGTAAACTAATCATCGTTTTTATTGAGCCCAAGTAATTATGTTAATACACTATAGAGGCCTAGATCCTGTATAAGAACTGTGCATTCCTTCAATTGTTCGAACTGATGTTACTCAACTACACATTATTTTTAGAGGTCCAAAAAATGCAAGACAAGATGAAATATACTTGGAGTCTATCATATTATCCCATGAATAATTATTATAAAGTGTTTGTTATCGGGCTTATGTATTTCCTTCAACAAATAATTCTAAACTAAGCTTACAAATAATCATGTCTTAAACTGTTGGGCATACCAGAAATTTATCCATACGGTAATTTAGGTCTATCGAACCATGATCGACATAGTAGGCCTACATAACAGGCTAAAGCTATTAATGATTTCCTACCAATACGAATTACAGTAGGCGTGTAAAGAGAACTATGCCTACGTTCATTCAGGCATAGCTTTAATAATATACACACATTATTGCCACAATATACAGGCAATACGGCAAACAGAAAAAAAAAATAACATAAAACAGTATAAAAAATAAATAAAAATTTCACTTAATAAAAATCAAACTAATTTATAATTTTTATTATATAATGACATATAACAAATATAATTTCCAATGATTCTTTCCAATAAATATTTTTAATATAAACCGTACACAATTAAAAAGCAACAAATTACATTCCCAATGACACAAAACATCAATATTTAAACATAATAATAAACTAATTTTCTTTCAGTAATACTTTTATCAAAAATATTTCTTAAGTATTTCACATAGTTAATTGGGTCATGTACAACAGTTATGTGTTTGGATTCACTCAAGTTTGAATGCAAATAAAATAATATCAGAATCATCATAAAAATAATAAGTAATTCATTATAAGAAAGTATAATACATACTCCAAGTATTGAAATATACGCCATCGTGTTGGGATTCAATATTTCGAAATTAATTATGTCATCATCAGGAATGAAAAAATTATCCATATTAGCAAGCTTATATTCACTAGTACCAAAAGTGTTTAACCAATCAAAACATTACTTCTAGTAGGTGACATAGCAGTGATAATAATTCATTATACGTCGTAGATTATTTTTGGTATGTCGCTAAAAGTTATGAATACAGTATAAACCGTTATTATAGTTGCACGATGAGGATACATACAACCAAGCATACAATAATAATTTTAATAATAGTGATGGACAATCCGTCCAATGTACCGGCATCCTCTACTGCATTGACAATGAGTGAGTCAGACTATATTGATTCAATATGGGTGTTGTTAGTATATAAATACTTCCCACCACCGATCTTCAATTTGAGCATGCGCATTTAGTTAGTTATTGCTATTCAATTTGCAACTACAGTATTTCCATTGCGTTAATTAATGAACGATTATGCTGTAAATATTTTACGTACTAGTAATTGATGGAGAAAATGTACGGTACTCTCCGCGGTATAACCCACACACTACCAGCATACAGTATCTTATGCTGATTTATAGTAAATATGGTCATGATATTAAGTCATTACCATCTCCATCATTATCGTCATCATCATCATCATAGTCTAGTATTAGATTCGAAGGTTGCATAAGGCATTTGTGTTGAATTTAACATTGCTTACCATTCCAATAACATAAACAAATGAGTAGAATTCCTAAATTCTAAAAATTCATTATAAACATTAAGACTATAGCAATTAGCATATAATAAACTGGTTATGTTCTGAGAATTTGCTCTGAGTCCATTAAAGTACGCGACCCCGCAGTGTTGCTATGGTAACAAGTCAACACAGTACATTCAATTCACCACACCTTCGTCGAATATGACTAATTCAACATATATTCCATGTAGCCTGAATACATGGAATAACAAGGTGACATTTGTCGTACATAATGTATAGGTTGTATACCGCTTATAGAATGGAAAAATAGTGTTGAATTGGTATAGAATAAACATGATGATTATGTTGTTGATAGTGATAATGGTAATGAATGACTTTTTACTCCAAAGTACGATATCTGTAAAGACAATATCTTTTTCATACAGTATGTCATTACAATTTCATATATTTTTCATATCTTGTATATGGAATTATCATAATTACTGATGTTTGTTTCGAAATGTATGTGTATATCGGCCTACTATGATCATAGTGAAATGAAAAAAATAATAATACAGAGAATCATGGAGCAGTCATAAAGATCATGCAATATGTTTTCATGGAAACAATAGATTTGATAACGCATGATGATGATATTATATAACGTGTAATGATGGTGGATTATCCATTTTCTTAATTTTTTAAAGTCGATCATGACTACTGACAGATTTTATGAAATATGCCAATATAATTAGACCAATAATATGTCGTCCACAGAAACTGTAAAATAAATACAATTTTACCTTTGAACCGTCTGGTGCTTCCATGTGAAACCTATGGTTTATTTACAATAAAACAGAGCTTGTTATATGAGTATCACTACCATTTGTTGACGTTACCAATATTTTATGGGACCACATTTATATTTTTATATTTTTTTATTTTAAAGAGTCGTGAGAAACGCGTCACAATTTTTTGTTATTCACCTGCACTCGCTAAAACGAAATTGAATTTTACTTTACATTCTTGAATGAATAAACAAAACATATAAAATGATCATTATACAGGTTTGCACACAATTCAATTTAAAAGCGATGTTGGTGCAGAAGTTCCGGTTTAAGCTCCCAACATTTTAATTTTGTTACTCGGTTTTATTATAGACGTTTAAGTTGTTTTTCGAAGCAGATCGAATGATATTGTAACTGTTTAAACTGTTTGAATTGCAAATGTACGGTAGTAAATAAAACCGAACACAAATAAACGTATAAGTCAGGCTTATTTATACATTTTGTGCAAGATAATGTCTTCTTTTTGGATCTACAAGCTTTGCTCGGGCAGATAATTAAGACAACATTACAAATATTAATTCCATAATAAAGAACATCTAATGCACAGAGGCTATGTCTAAATAATACTATTGATTATTCGACTCAAATACAATTTGTCCTTCGGGCCTCGACTATATATACGATAGTGAATGAACTCGCCCCAATCTACCGTAAATACGACAAACTTAATACATACATTTCGTATGGAGAAACACTTGGCTGAATTTATAGTTTTTCATTTTAGATCATTAGTTATAAATTACATTATTACTATATCAATACGCAACCTATAGTAAAAATACCAATAGTAAAGTACAATATCTTAGATTAACATGCATCCATACCCCAAACACACAATCGGTCATAAATACATACTGTTAATACTAAAGTGCTTAGGCCTAATTCGTTATAACAACCCCCCCCCCAACCCCAACAAATATTCTGATTTTATGAGAGAAAAAATAACATAGGATAAGTGGCTCCTCCAGCTTTCCAATTGAAAAATATATTTAAACCCCATTACTCCGAGTCTGGAAAAGGGTATCGTCTACAAGTTACACATGCAATACGTACATTAAAACAACACACTATATAAAATATATGTATGTCAACATTAATGCACACGCGTTATAAAAGCAATCACAGCTTTGTGTTGACGAACTTTGTCTTCTGGGCTAAATAAATGCAAGCATAACTTTCGGATATTTTACATATGAATTTCTTTTGTAAATTTAATACCGATATGCATAATCTCCCTTGAAGAGGAATTAGCTGAACTAACACAATTGTGGTTATTAATGCTTCGCACAATGCATTAGGTTTATTCGGCCTATAACCATTAAACCTGTGCATGCTGTTTATATTATTCTGATATAGCTTCATTTTGTTGGTTTTGTCTCCATTTGAATGAAATAAATTGTATTTTTAATTATTATTATTTTATATTTACCTACTATAATTACTATATTTACTATTTTTTATTTAAATTTTATTTCAGGCTTTGAAGATTTAGGATGCTTTTATGATTACTTAGAAGATCGAACGCTTCCTGGCTTGAACGCCTGTAATTTGCCAGAGGCTGAAGAAATGTGCAATGAATGTACATCGGAACATCCATACTGCGAAAACACGCAAAGCATGACTGTTTCCTTTTGTACAGATTTATGCCACAGACGAGGCTTTCTCTACTCAGGGTTAGAGGCGGGAAATCAATGTTTTTGTGGAAATAACTTCGATCCATTAAATCCACCGAATGGTAAACCACCGAATAACGATAATTGTACTGAACCTTGCTCAGGCGATTCAAGTCAGATTTGTGGCGGAGAATTGCGAATAATTATTTACAAAAGTAAGTAGTCTTAGGCAAAGTTAGGTCTGTAAAATGGTAATCAAAATTGGTCGTAGAATGCCACTAATATCACCTTTAACCACCAGCTTTTGCAGAATGTGTTATTACTGTATGTGAAATAGCCGTACTAATTATTGTCATTAGTGTTAAACATTAAAGAATAAATAGATCTATTGGTTTTAAAGACAATTTCATGAACGTCAATCGATAGATAGGCTATATAATCCACTTTCAAAGGAATTCGATTTGAAAACAATGACATCTTCATATTGAATTATTTCGGGCATTTGTCCTGACATCATTATCATATGAACATGGCTAAATACGAGAAATGTAATGACACTGATCAGAAAGTTTAAAGTTGTTTAAAGTTTTTATAAACAGTATTTTTATTATATTATATGAACACGAGAGTCCAATACGAAAACGGCGGAGAAAAAAATCAGAAACATTCCGATCATTAGCTAAAGAAATCACTTTTGAGTAATCTATTTTTTTCAGTGGTATCATTATAAATTAAAAAAAAAAACAATGAACGACTTCCATTACATATTTATTGAGCATAACATAGTCTTTTTAACTTTTCTTTTATTTAGATGACGACTTCATGAACTGTTCAACATCAATTGACTTCAGTAATGGTACCGTTACTCCGAAACAAAACATATATGCTTCTGGAACAACTGTACAGTTTACATGCAATGACGGATTCTACCAAGTGGGACCTACTAACTCACACTGTTGGTACTCAGGTGAATTCAGTCATGTGTCTAAAGATGTACAGCCCAGATGCATAAGAGAATGTGCAGAGCTAAACACCGATAGCTTTACTGAAGTTAACCGAACGGTTCAATACCAAGGATTTTTCATTGTTGGAGATACCATAACTTACGAATGTAGTGTAGGTTATGAGCCAGTTTCTGGTGTTTCAGTTGGTGATGTAGAATGTAGAGAGGATCGACTTTGGACAACAAACTTGCCAGTATGTGAAGGTAATTACTATTCTCTTGTTTAATCAAATTATTAATATAAAAACTTTTTTTAATTTAAAAATAGTGGTTATCTGTTACTTTAAATTTTTATATTTTCAGGTGTTTCATGTGGAAATCCTGGAACTCCAAATCAGGGTGAACTCATTGGTGTAAAGTTTTTCTACCCAAACAGTGTTAGCTACATATGTCAACCCGGATACACTATTTCCGGGTCTACAACCAGGACGTGTCAATCAGATAAGTCTTGGTCGGGAACATTACCATCGTGCAGTCGTAAGTCTTCCAGCTGTATACATAGTTAAAAAGTTTGCTAGCGCTTGCCTGTGTAAGAAGTCAGTTAGGTAATAATATTATATTGGCTTAATGTACGTAATAATATAAATTAATAAATTCTTATCACCTATTACATATTAGTTGGTCCCTAGCTGTCATACTGACACATATTTTGTTTTAGCTAATGACTGTGGTAACTTGGACAACATCGAAAATGGGATGACTTCCTATACTGGTACAACATTCGGCATGAATGCTACTTATACGTGTGACATCGGCTATAATATAAATGGAGAGATGATCAGAATTTGTGAAGCAACAGGACTTTGGTCTGGGTCACCTCCCACTTGTGAAGGTATAGAATAATAATAAATAAGAATTATATATATCTCATATCCATACAAAATTCTCAATAATAATTAAAACAGCAGAAAAACAGGTTACCTGAAAGCAAAATTGGTCAATGAAACTGTATTTTTAGTGTAATTTTTAGAGAAAATAGAAAGTATTGTTTTTCTGATGTTAGTGTTTTCTTTAATCATGTTTTGTGATAACATTTTACCTGAACTTATTCATTACAGTTGTCAGCTGTGGCGATCCTGGTTCAATAATAAATGGAATAAGGATGGGTGCTAACGAAACTTACGGAAGCACAGTAACCTACGTCTGTAACACTGGATATAACCTGCTGGGTGCTGCAAGTGTCACATGCCAATCTGATGGCACATGGTCACAGAGCGCCCCTGTTTGCCAAGGTTAGTGATTTTTTTTGAAATCATAATATCATACTTGTCAATAATAGTGTATTAAAAATTGTATAATATTTTGAAATTTATGACCTTTGAATGTTATTTTTCAGTTGTTAATTGTGGAATAGTTTCTATAGGAGAAGGGGTATTCGTAAATGGCGGTATTTTCACTTACAATGCTGTCCTAATATTCATATGTGACAGAGGATACAATAAAGTATCAGGCGATACCACTAGAACATGTCAGGCTGACGGCAACTGGTCTGGAAATGACTTGGTATGCGAAAGTGAGTATACAATCTTTAGAATACATGAACTAAAAGGATAGGAATATTTTCCGTTGCAGGTTATGTGTTTGTTGTTTCATCTAAAAAACGGAATAACACTTTAAAAGTTCCAAGGCCAACCAAATTAAAATGAATTACTTAAAGTGTAACAATTCCATGGGCCAATTGCCAATCACTTCTGATAGCAAGATTTAAATTTAGTATGGAAATTAAAATGAAATCTGAAATCAGCAATTGGTATTAGGTGGTTGATTAAACTTTTACTGTATTACATCCATTCTCGCGTTATTTATTTCTACTGCTATAACTTTATGTGAATGTAGGTAAGAATGGCCCCGGAAAAAATGGCACCGGTAAAAATGGCCCCAGTAAAAATGGCCCCGAATGACAAGTAGGTAAAAATGGCCCCAATAAAAAAATTCAGTAATAGAAATGATATTTTTTTAAAAATTTTCAAATATTTAAATACTGTAATAAGCAGAATTGAATCAATAACAAATACAGTTACACTACAGATGCAAATGTACTGAGAGATTATCAGAAAACAACGGCCATTGAACATTTTTTGATAGTTGAAATAAGTTTTAAAAACGTTATTCCACTAACAAAGTAGAGGAATGACATACATACAGTACTTCAACTACCAAAATATGCAACTCATAGATAACCACAACATTCACTTTTGTTAAGTATCAAATGAAATAACTTTACATGTTATAAACAGTGCAAATAAACAGTAGTTAAAGCATGTGGATCAATTGTGTGTTTGAATGACAAGTTCATGTATGGGAAAAGGGAGGCTTACTTTACTTCAACAAATGTTCTGCTTAGAGTTACTTTAAAGAAGTATTTTTTAATCAAATATTGTTTTTAAAGTAAACTGAATAATTAGGAATACATTTATTTAAGCAACTTATTTAATTGCATACTTGGTTTCTACTCCCCGCCAAGTAAATTTAAGTGCCTAAAACTATACTAAATAATGTAAACTGAGATACTATATTATATATATAGTTATGTAAATATGGCAATTATGCTAAGAAATAAAATGGCGTGTAATTGTGAGGGTAAAGTAATTATGGTAGGATCAAATGGTATTGCTAAATCCCCAAAACCACCATTATTTTAGTATTAATAAATGCATGATTTATGTTGATTTATAGATAATGTTGTTGCTATTTTTTAACATTTAAATAGAAAAATAAATGTGTTATTCATGGCTTTTTTTATCTTTGAATATTTTATCATTGAGTATGTAATTTCTGCAAAAAGTAAAATGTAAATGGCAATTTATTTGATGTTAGATTCCTTTTAAAAACTAAATTATTTCCGTTTTAAAAAATGCATATAATGATTTTAAAAACAAAATCAGTTTTAATACAGAATTTTATTATTGGGGCCATTTTTACCTACCTGTCATTTGGGGCCATTTTTACCGGGGCCATTTTTACCGGGCCATTTTTCCGGGGCCATTTTTCCTGGGCCATTTTTCCGGGGCCATTTTTCCTGGGCAATTTTCCGGGGCCATTTTTCCTGGGCCATTTTTCCGGGGCCATTCTTATCGTACACCCTTATGTAACATAGCTTCTACCATTGTATTTTTATCTGTCTATTATTATTAATCTATTCTTGAGAATGTGGTATATTAAATCGTAAGATAAATTTCTATGTTTTGTTTTGCAGTTGTTAATTGTGGAGATCCAGGCACACCAACCTTTGGGGGGAAAACTGGTAGTGACGAGACTTATGGAAGCACAGTAAATTACGTATGCAACACTGGATACAACCTTGTTGGTTCTACTATGGTTACTTGTCAATCAAATGGAACATGGTCAGATAGTATATATATATATTCTTGAAGCCTGTAATAATTCATCCGATTATGCTGAAATGATATTAGGTAGCCATATTCATGTGATTGTTTTTTTTCTTAGTTGTAAATTGCGGGGATCCAGGCACACCGACCAATGGAGAAAAAAATGGTAATGACGAAACTTATGGAAGTACTGTAACTTACGTATGTGACAATGGATACAACCTTATTGGTACTGCCATGGTTACATGTCAGTCAGATGGAACATGGTCAAATAGCACACCAACATGTCAAAGTAAGTTATGTAACTGTAATTTAGTGTGGCTATTCATTTAGTGTTACACTTTGAGAAAGTTCTGATTAGAATTCACCATAACATGCCAATATTTTCAAAATTGTCTTTTTCATGGTAATAATATAATGATAAATAAACAATAATATGGATGATAATATGAAACTTGCGCAATTTATCTAATGAAACTGAAATACAGGCAAAGAAGTGGCTTTTTGGAAGCTGTCTAGGCTTAATTTTATAAGGCAAACAACACACAATATTGCAGACAATCAAATATCTTTATAGCAATTAATTTGAGTTGCAGTTATGAGTAGGAATGTATTTTAATTTTATTAATTTTATTCAGAATATTATTTTGTAAATGACTGTCATTTTAGAATAATTTTACTAATATGTGTAGACTTGAACCGCACTTCTATCAAGATCTCCATGTCTCTATTGGCCGCTTCCTTTCGACTGTCTCAGCCAGGTTTGTTAAAGGCCTACCGTGTAGTTTTGCCAACTGGAGAAATACGATTTATCTAGTCGTTTCTAATTAAATGTTTCTATTGTATTAGTTGTCGATTGTATGCATCCAGGAAGTCCTCTCAACGTTACCGTAGGTGTTAGTGAAACAACGTACGGCGCTATTGTAACATACAGCTGTCTACCCGGTTATAGTATCAGCAGTGGAAACAACTGGCGAACGTGTGGTCCTGATGGCTCATGGACAGGCATTGAACCAACTTGTTCAGGTATGCTAAATACTACTTTTCGGATGTTTTTATAGGTTGGTAAACTTAACCTTTTTTAATATACCCATTCAGTTCTTGCCGATCGATTACACGCCTACATTTATCATATTTAACATTTGCCACTAGATTAAGAAGGAATTATCTTTAGTTGTTTCTCGAACAATTGTTAAAAATGTTTATAAAGATAGATTTTCAGTCAAGGTTAGGTTGCTTTTCATTCCCAATAATTTAAATTCATCTGAAAAATGAAAATGCAATTCTTTGAAGATCGTGACATAGACGCCCTAAAATGCCAGCTTGTGACTTTCTTCCCAACCTGTGCTGTTTTTATTCCTCTTCTATAGTTGGGGATTTTATGATTTTTTAATGATTTGTTTCTAATTCGATGTATTCACTTTTGATGTGTCCAAGCTACTAATATATTAAAAGTAATAATATTAGTGCTAAATAGGCCTATGTCTGAATGGAAATTAGGTAACATATTCATTTATAACCGATTTTGATGGAAGACTATTCGACGTATATATCAACAAATCTATAGCTAAATCAAATATCAAGTTTATATCTGCTTTTATTTATCTTATATTGATGTTAGGTTTTAAGAATTTGAAAATGTACCATATTTTACGTTATTAGTGTTGCCACGATTGTTAATTATTTTATAAATCTGAATCACTTGCTCTCAAATATCTTTATTTCTCTGACATTAGGAACATCTACACATTTTAACGTACAGGGTATTTTTAATTTATTTATTTTTTATTTATTTATTAAATACCCACCAAAAGTGATGATGAACATCGCACTAAACAGGTTTTTATAAATAATATAATATAAACATACAAATGGTATATCATATCTAAAATATAACTTAAAAACAACGCATAGAACTACATATTGTATTATTTCAGTTTATAGTTTCTTTTGCACTGACTAATATTTTTGCTATTCAAATTTGCTGCCAAAGTATACGCCAAACATTTCGTTTAAATATTTTTTTTATTTCAACCTGTGATGAAATGTTGTGTGTAAATTATTGCATTTTCATCATCATAATAATAATATACAAAACCAATAATTTATTTACTCATATTTGTATGCTTTCTAAACTAAAATTTAAGTTTTATCAGTTGTTGCAATAATTCACACACGTATTATCATATTTCAGTTGACTCATGTGGAGAACCGTCAACCCCTGAATTTTCTATTCGTACCGGTTCAAATTATGACGTTGGTGCAATTGTTGAGTACGCCTGTATGATGGGATACGAACAGACTGCCGGTGATTCCTCAATAACATGTACTCCAGATGGAACCTGGTCAGGAGATATAATAGTATGTTCAGGTGAGTTTTATATGTAGCAAAGCGACATTGTTTACAAGTGAACAAATTATAATTGCCTAGGCCAACCTTTTATTTCATTTTATAATAATAAAACAATTATTTAGTTATTGTTATTTTTGTTATAATTATTAGTTTTTGAGATTACGATTATGTTTGGATTTTATTTAATGCAATTTACTTTATTCCAGTTGTAAATTGTGAAGATCCAGGCACACCACAAAATGGACTGCAAACAGCAACGGACTTAACGTATCAAGGCACAGTAAACTTCGAGTGCAATACTGGATACAGCTTGATTGGTAGTACAAGCATTACATGTCAGTCAGATAAAACGTGGTCAGATAGCGTCCCCACATGTCAGAGTAAGTGTTAAAATTATCTGCCATAGTAGGCCTAAAAAATTATTATTGTTTAGTTACTGCTACTACTGGGGTATTGGCTATTACGCTTAAAGCCTGGCTCGAGGGAAAAAATGTTAATATTTGTTGACAAAAAACTCCGAAATGTTTAATGTTTTAAAATATTCCAAAAATGTGTATCTCATTAACCGCTAACGAGTTTTTCTTCAATTATGCTTTTTTTGTCTTAGAAAAATCAGTTCTACAATATATCAATTTTTCCCTCTCTAGAGCTCGGCTTTAAAGTCATAACACATCTTCATATGGTATTATGCTATTTGGGGAACTTCGCAGAGCATGGCTACTAGTTTTAAAATTAAAAAATACGAAAGATTGAAAATTCTTTAACTCGAGAAGAACATTTATTACACCTAAATACCGAATAGTTCTTAAAATTTACCATATACTTTACCATCAGAGCTTACAACAATTCAGCAGACAACGATACAGAGGACGACAACTGCAGATATAATTATTTCGAGTAAGTTAGGCCTATGATTAACCCTTAAATTGTCATGAGGTCATTTGAGTAACACGATGCACATATTCTTATATAATTTACGGTTTATACCCTCTACACAACATTTACTGTTATCACCCTCTTGTCTCATAATTGTCTTTTACATAATTGTATCACCTCTTGTCAAGTAGTTTAATGTTATCCTCATCTATGTCACATATCACCCTGTAACCACACAATTTACTGTTATCACCCTCTTGTCATATAATGTCAGCCACATAATTGTATCACGCCCTTGTCACATAGTTTACTGTTTTCCTAATCTTTGTCGCGAAATCAAGTGTTATACTTTAGTTCCATAATTTACTGTTATCACCATAATTTAATAGAACTTATTGTTATCACTCTTCTTGTTGTCACCTAATTGTATTACTGTCTTTTCACATAATTGACTATTATAACCGTCTGGTCACATAATAAATTTATTCCCTCTTGTTCTATCACATTTTTTTTGCAAACGATTTACTGTTATCACTTTCTTATCACATCATTTACTAGCATCACATTTATGTCACTCAATATTTGCATGGCTCTCTTGATTGCGCAATACATTAATTTCTATCAGTCTAATTATTACTGGCGTACGGAATTACACTAGTATAATAACTAAACAGTAATAATGTGCCGTTAAACGAAAACCTAAACCTATATAACTTTAATTTTGGAGACAAGTTCTGAAAACCCCTAAAGCACTATCGAGGGAATTAATGTACAACGGTTCACATTCTATATTCTTCTATTGGTGATAGCCTATTGTACTTATACTATTTTCTTATAATATAGCACTTAATCCTACAACAACTCAACAGCGTACAACTGAACTGTCTACGACACTAGACAAACAGCAAACAACAGCGGACATTTTAACTAATAAGCTTAGTAAGTGTATTGATCATTAACGAATGTTTAAAAAACAGTCGGGAAAACACCTTAAAATTTATATAAAACCAGGGAACAGTGAAATTACATGTAAATCATGGAAGAAATAATTTACAAGACTAAAGCCTAAATAATGTATCTACTTTCATGTAAAAACATATAAATAAACCAGTGTTTGTTAATATAAAATTGTATTGTTTGAAATTTTGCGGAAAGAACTGTTTATTTTTTGTTTTTGTTTTTGGTTTTTTATTAGTTGTTGAAAGTGACTTGACGTTTTGATTGAGTTGCACCAATCGTCATCAGTTAAATACTGTCAGATACAATTATTCTTATGGCGATTGAAGCAACTTAATCGGAACGTCGAGACATTGAGACAGTGCAAAACAACAGTTCTTTTCAATTCTAACTACGTGGTTTCCGCAAGCGTATTACAGAAAATATTATAACATTAATTCATGTTATACATAAATGTTACTGTGTTTTAGTTTAATAAAAAAAAAAGTAATATATAGGCCTAAACTGTTGGTGATTTGATATAAATTGTTACATGCTGGTCCTTAAAAATCAACTACAATATCTATTGTAGGTTAATGCAATATTTTTACATTTATCTAGTTGGTGGTTGGTATACTATTCTATCAGTTTTAACCTCAATGCACTCACTCTATCTTCTTATATAGCACTTAATCCTACCACTCGGCAGCCTATAACAACAGGCAAACAACATACAACAGTGGACATTATAACAACTAACATTAGTAAGTGTAGTTGTTTATAAAGACATTATTGTCTGTTATATTCATTATGTTCACAAATATCACCTTAAAATTTAAAATAGATGTTGAATTGAGAAAGATTAAATATGTTATCCAAATGATACACAGATCGAAGTAAATTAGTTTTTGCTAATTCAGAGACATTTTACTAAAATCATTATGTTATCGACGGAAATATGTAAAGAATATAAAAATGGTAATTTGTATGCACCTGACTAATCGAGGAAAATAATGCTGTAATAATTTTAAAAGTCAAAGCTATAATTTACTTAAATATACAAAGTATACAATTCAAATATTGATGTGTTTGTTTAGCTCAAAAGACGGTATATCTCACGTTTCGGCTGTGTTCTTTTGGTGGTGTAATTTTGTATAGATTGTTCAGTTGGTATTTTTATAGTAAAATCTGTGGTGTGATGGTAAATTTTGTTTTGTCAATGCTTTCCTATTGCTTATTCTAACTTATAGATTCTCCAATTGTTCGGCATACAACAGCAGCTATTCAAACGCCCGAAAATCAGCAAACTACCTCTAGTAAGTGTATGGTATATGGCGGTGCATTAACCACATAAAATTGGATACCTCTTAATGTGTCATTCTACAAAAATACATTGCGATCAATTTCTTTTTAAATCAATAGGCAACAATAATATTTACAGTGTTTTAGCATTTAAAATGCAACGATTGTTACATCTTGACTGAAAATAGATAATAATATGTTATATTTAATATATATCACTTAATGCTACATCAGCGCTTTTTGGCATTTAACCCTACCAGGTACCCATTTATTCTCCTGGGTGGAGAGAAGCAATGTAGATAAAGTGCCTTGCACAAGGACACAAGTGAAATGCACAGCGAAGGATTGAAACCCCGACCTCAAGATTGGGAAACCAAACCCTATTGAAACCAAATATTGAAATGACGATGATTATTGTCATTATTATAATTTTAAACTTGATAATTATATTCTATGTACTACCTGTACTGTAAAGTTTTTTTAATTAGTGCGGATGATACCTCAAAAACTGGCTCAACTTTGCGCTGAAAAATCACTAGGAAAATAGGTGCGCAGAATCCTAAATGCTGAATAATACTTTGGTTACATATTAAGATTAAGTCAATCGGCCCTTATTTTCCCAAATGCGCGGACGGATTTCTAGACCTAATTTTTGCGCGGAAGATATACAGTATTTTCCATGCAGGCTTTACTTTACAGTCTGTATGTACTGTACTATACATTAAAATGAATTAATTATTTTTGATGATAAAATGAGGCATGTTGTGGCAAAATGGCCAAGTTGTAGCAAAAATTGAAATTCAAGTTATTGGTATTTTCAGATACCTGAGTATGTGATCTTTAAAATGAGGGGTCATTCATTCAAATTGGACATTTCAAGCTAAGTTATTGGAAAGTGAAAGTAGAGTCTGTCTCTTATACACATCTAGATGTGTATAAGAGACAGATATATGTATGTATAAATAGGCCTATAAATATTATATAGGCATATATATATATTTATTATAGTTATTTATATATATTTATTTATTTATCCTTTCTGTTTTAATATAGGCCTATGCTATTATTATGTAGTAATCAACATAATAAAATATATTTTAATCAAATTTTAGGAGGAGAAAGAGAGAACCATTAACAAAATCTTCCAGTATCGAAGCCATTCCTAACCCTGCTTATGTTGATGGTTTTGCCGAGACGCCAAACGCAGCTACAAACGAAGGATTTGAGATGGCAGAAGAAAACGAATTCGAACCCGTGTCACCAACATCCAATGGTAGTGTACCTATCGAATCAGGAAATGATGTCACTGATGGATGGACTCCAATTGGACATTTGGAAAGTGAGACAAGCGGTGGGAAATTTAAACCAACATTCATGGCAAAATAGCCTAAATCTGGATCCGATCGCCTTTATGGGAAGATTAGCGCAATTAATGAACAATTATAATAAAATCTACATTACAGATTATGTATACAACTGGAATCTCAATCAAAACAAGGAAAAAGCTGCCGTAAAATTTACTTTTATTATTAAAAGAGAAAACATGATTCGGCCCATGTACATACAATTATGACTTATAGCCATATTTATGGTTTCAAACGGCATTAGCAGAAGTGTTATTAAAAATGTATATTTTGGCTTTGCCTAATCTATAATAATATATATATATATATATATATATATATATTATAGTTATAGTTATGAAAGCATATACTTGAGCATGTGCACGCCCGTGTGAATGGACATAATATTGTATATATACATTCCCCTGTCCTTTATATTATATTATATTACATTATATGGGCCTATATATATATATATATATATATATATATATATATATATATGTGTGTGTGTGTGTGTGTGGGGGTGGGTGTGTGTGTGTGTGTGTTGTGTGTGTGTTTTTGAAGAAAAAATATGCATATCGTAACATAATGTTTTGATGTATAAGATAATAATCATATTATGTGTGTTTGAGTTTATTTCTCATAATTATACACAGCATTGTCGTTTACACATAACCTTTGTCTAACCACACTATTAAATTTTATGTGACAAATATATGTGATTACCCGTATTTGGTGTGATATGCCATCACCATGCCCATTGTTATAGTGTCGACAGAGCATTACGCGTTTTACAGAATAAATCCAGCACAGGCTGATTCTGTGGTTTTTATGGCATTTGAGTGCCTTAGATTCCTCACTTTTTGTTCGTTTGCATGTATGTAAATTGTTTTAAATATGAATTAGATTATGTTTAAGAAAATTGATGTTAAGCGCGCTCTGAGTGCGTGCGTTAAATGTTGATTGACAATTATACCTAGTACTTAATATATTTATATAATTATTTCTTATGTTTGTATAAGTATATTCCCAACAAAAAAATATCGAGGTAAAAAGTTATAGTTATTATCCAAACGTTAAAGGGCGTAGAATTGTATAGTATACTGGAACAATTAACCAGTTCTATAATTTTCAAAAGGCAGCAGTTTAGAGAAGAATGCATTTTATCAAATCATAATTAAGTTAATCTATAAGCGAGAGTGTTATGGTGTGTGCATGGTGTAAGAGTCGAATAGTAAGAAATAATATTTTAAATGTAAGTTGCCTTCGAATCAAACCTTGAATGCTAGTATCCATAGAGTCCTATATAACGTGTCTGTGACGTCAAATATTTATCAATGACGTTACATATATGTTTGTGACATCATACAATTTGTAGATTGTATATTTAAATAACAAACCTTGGTAGACTTTTTCAAATTCTGAGGTTGAATTGATAAGGCATAGCTCATGCAATTTGTTTAAAAAAAAATATATTTATGAGATTTCAAGAATTATACTCACAGTCTCACATTTAACATATTGTTATAATATACAATGTGTACAAAATAATTCACGTAAGAATAAATACATAATGAATAGTTGATTACTTTATAATATTATCGACTAAAATAGAATATACATATTTTTGTATCATTGTACATGAAAAGCGTTTTAAATAATTTTTGAATTTTTTATGAATAAATGTCTTTTTAATAAAGAAACAAAATAAATCATATCCAGTGCGTTTATTTGTTTTCCTGAGATATTTATTATGTTTATGTTTTAGCCTTTACTTAACAATTATGTATGGCAACCGAGTTCTAGTCACTCCTGGACTCGTTTGTGACTTTTATTTAGGAATGTTTGACCATAGACATATAATATTTAAATCGTAAATTAGTTTCTTTGGACTACCGCGATCCTTTCATTCTTTCCTTTGTTCTTTCTCTCCTCTCTCTCCTCACCTCTTTCTGGGGTATAGGCGTCTAGGCCACGTTGTCACCACTCTGGATCCGACAGTGAAATTTGATACTTTGAAAGAGATACTGTTTTAATAGAGGCATAGGAAAAACACAGAGAAACAAAATGGCGGGTAATGCATTTAATAAAAATTATATAAAAAATGTGTAAAATAGACTGACCTACTTGTAGTGCGAAGCTCCAAATACTTTCTCAGCATGGTAAAGCATTATAGCAAGTAAATGATGATATAGATTATTTGTATGGATTGATGCAAAGAAATAAGTGGGATGTTTAGAGTTATTTCGCTCATAAACGGAGTCCTAGCCGTACGATAAAAAACACCTTGTGTAGGAAGGGATGACCCTAAATTACAATGCACAGAAGTACGTATT